ATATATATATATATATATATATATATTTTTTTTTTTTTATTTCTTAGGGGCAAGCCTTAAATTTAAAGCTAGATCTAATACACTTACGTTAGCCTTAAGACATCTATATGGGAAGATGAAAATGATGGCACATGCCCTCTGTGCAATGATGGTAAAGAAGACCTTATACACGTTATGTTTAAATGCAAATGCCTTGATAATGTACGAGCAATTGAATGTTGTAAACTTGAATACAATTTATCTAATAGTAACCATCATATATCCTGACTGTTTTTGATATCAGGCAGTCCAACACTAAAGTTGAAACTAGCCCTAGGCAGTGATAACAGCCTTCCTAATGAAACACATGCATTGATTTTAAAAGAAGTTGACAGAATTTTCGACCTCTATTGTTAAAACTACATTAAAAAAGCATGGGCCTTACGTAATGCTGTGTTAAATGAACTTATTTAATTGTCTGGTAGTTGTACTTAACCGTGTGTAAAGTATTTTTTTAATGAGATTCTGATCTTTCTTAAACTTTTAAAATTTTATGAAATACTATACTGTTTAAGATGTGGAAATAATGCTCCATACACAGAGAGAGTTGGTTTGCCATATGAAATTAACAGTGCTACTTCCTCCAGGTATTTCGTTCGTTCATCATTCTAATGGTTTATTTATTTTAAAACGAACATACATGATGAAGTGTTGTAGCAAAAACTAAACCGCGCTTTATTGACACCTGATTGGTGGTCCTCAGGGGCGTAACAGGCGGGGGGGGGTTGCAGGGGGCAGAATCCCTGACTGTTTTTACCCGGCTGACCAAGCCTTCGTACCGGGCTGGGTAATAATAGAAAAGAAAGAGGGGAGAGGGAGGGAAAGACAAAGAAAGGGAAAAGGAAAGGAAAGGAAAGCGAAAAGAAAAAGAGAAGAGAAAAATAAAGACAAGAATAAAAAGGAAGATATCATAATGACCAGACTCACAAAACCCTGCAATCCCTGCTTCACTTCAAAAAGATATATAAAATAATATATGTGAAAAATATATAAAATCATGATGAAAATGCTTATTAGTTTTAAACACACGTGTGTGGCCTATATTATAAATAAGATAAGCCCTATGTCGTATTGATTGCCTGTTTAATGTGTAAGGGTATATGTATTTGTTAATTAAGTTAATAGCTTAATTCTTTGTTTATTATTTACTTGTTTAACTTAATTTACTTGAAGATATGTCGCTTCATACACAGAGAGAGCTGGTTTGCCATATTCCTTGTGACTTCCCCAGAAAGCTCATTCATTCATTTTCTCATGGTATCTATTTCAAATATCCACAAATCTCTGGTTTAAATAAGATTTGCTGAATACAGTATACTACAGGCCTAACATTGTAGTAAAAAGAAACAAATAAATAAATGAATAAATATATATAAATAAATTCTGCTCTATCTGGTTGGTGACCCCTCTCTCTTTGTCTGGAGTAGTATTTTAATTACCAATTTCAATTTGTAAGTGTAGGCCTTTACGTACTTTTGTTAATACATGTACAGTAGTTTAATTCTTTGTTTAGGCCTATAATTTTGTTTGTTCTTTTATAAGTTGTACAATGTGGATGCACCACCTATGTGTGTGCCACCGTAACCACTCCTTTTGTACTGTCCACAGACGAGTATTAGCCGAATGTTCTCTTTCTAATTAAGGGGCAAAACAGAGCAATTGTTATTAACAGCTATATAGCAGTACTGTAAATGTATGGTAGGCCTCAGGTCTGGCCGATTTTTGCCTAACGATTTTTAACTTGATGATATGGATTTTATGTATTTTTGTTAGCTCACTATTGGTTGGGACTACCCTCGGTGGTGTTTTGTTACGCCCAGGTTTCCCAGGGCAAACGGTGAGTTTGTTTGTGTTCGATTTTCATTATGTGGCCATTGTATGTTTTTTTTATCATGTGGTACCAGAATAAATAAATTAAATTGAAATTAAATTAAATGAGAATCAAATTATTTAATATTTAAAAACTGGGGAAAAGGGGCGTAACCACTCCTTTTTGTACTTTTCCCAAAGTTTTTAAATATTCAAAAATCTGTATCTCATTAACCGCTCCCACATTTTTCGACAAATATGCTTTACGTGTTTTAAAAAAATTAGTTGTACAACATATCAACAATTTCTTTTTCTCCGGAGCCTGGCTTTAAAAAGTTGTACATGTTTCCAAATGCAGTATTGTGTTTAGGAAATGTCGGGGGTTTTTAATCTTGACAAATTGAATTCGTCATTAAATTCATAGTGAATTCCCCCACCCCGAGACAAAATAAACAGGCCCCATTGTGAGTGTGTGGGGGGGGGGCGCGAGGGTGAGGATAAATCTCTGTGAAAAGGGAATTATGAATGTACAGTATTTACACACAGCCAACAAAAATTTAAACAGAAAACCTTTATGTATGTCAAGTTTTAATTTCATATGCTCATCACATACCTACTAACAAAAACTTAATTACCAAACAGTATTGTACTTAAACTTTGTGCTGTATGATACATATCGGAACTTAATGTTTGTTTTTTTCTTTTTTTTTTGTTTTTGTTTTGCATTGAACAATAGAAAGGAATTGAATGCAATGATCAAAAACAATTAGCTACATTTTTAATGATTATCTTTTAAATGTAAAACAATGTTACAGCAGGAGAAACAAGACATGCAAATTTATATAAAAAAAAAACATTATTCATTTTTTAAAAAATGCAAACGTTGAAATGATTCAGCACTTTACACAATGAATCTAGGTGAGCCTCTATGGGCAGTTTTCAATAACAAGTGGGCATATCTCTTCAGGAGTCAGATATAATGTGATGGCGATTTCAATCTCGTACTTTTTCATGTATGGAGATACTTCATCAGTGCACTGCAAGTATAATATAAGCATAATTAATAAGCCTTAAAACGAAAATTAAACTTCAAATTGCTCAATGAAATCAACTAGATATTTACGAACTTGCAATAAGTTACAGATCGTAAAAAAATAAAAAATGCCTAGACTTTTTATTACAATAAAACTATTACGAATGGGCGATATATATATATATCATTTTATTTATTGTAA